GATATTTTTACTCAAATCCAGACCAAAAATACTTGGTAAAACTTTGTGTTTTTACAGTGCTCTGAGTGCAACTTCCTTCCTCATAAAATTTAAAAATGGAGAGGTGTCACATTTTAGACCATTTCTCCCGCTAGCGCTGGGCTAATGTGTTTGTATTTACCCACAATGCCCTGCGCTGTAGTCTACTTCCTCCTTTTGGAACAGGAAGTGGACCATTTGGTGTTCACATACGCATTCAAACCCCACCGAGTCCGAGGTTTTCAGGCAGGTCAGATGCCGGTCCGCATCAGAGTTCGATTAGCGTTCACACCTCACCGAACGAACCGGACTTTCCAGACAAAACGAACCGGAGTTCGTTTGCCTGGATGTGGAGAAGCAGTGGCTCTACTCTGAGCCTCACCAGGTCGTCCAGCAGTTTCAGGTTGTTGAAGTTTGACCTCCAGATGATAGCGTTTCCCTGACAGGCTGGGACAAAATGATCGTAACATCTGGACTCATCAGATCACATGACCGTCTTCGCATCTTTATGCTTCCTTGCAGATTGAAGCTTTTTGCTCAGTTCCACTGATTCGTGGTTTTCTTACACAGCTGTTCAGTTCAAACTGTGGTGTGGAAATGCTCTTAAATTCACAAGTAAACATAACCTGACGTTTGCTGTTGTTTTTCTTTAATCTAATTTTAACCAAATGTTTCAGGGTTCGCCTATCATTGAACAGTTCTCAACCCCTTTCCAGTCGTCCTTTTTTCTTTTACAATGTTTTCTTTGCTTGATGCCAACAGTTTGATCTTTTTAAAACAGGGTGTGTTTCCACCTGATTGTTTAACAAATGAAAAGCTACTCATTGCATCTGCTGGGGTTAAATAATTTGATTTGTTTGCTTTGAGACTTTTTTCGTCTTTGGTACAAAAACTAAATAAAATGTGGAATATTGGGTGGAAACAGAATGAAAAAAAAATCGAGTGGATGGTGACGCTGTAATTTTCGCTTTGTTTTTATTCAGCTATTTATGTAAAGCAAACTGTTTGAGACGGTTATAATGAGCGGAGAGCTCAGGTTACTACAATGACACGACTGTGATAATGGAAAAACAACCAACACTCAGACGGAGAATTACTTGGTGCTCCATTTACATCGTTTGTTGTTCTTAACAAGTCCATATTGACTTTTACATGATTAGAGTATATCGCAGACGGAGAGGCTTCTGCATGTTAATGCATTTTAATGCAACTACAAAGCAGAAATAATGAGTCAGACGTTCCAGTAGAAGCAGGCGTCCCACTCGCCAATGATCGTTAATAGATCTTTACCGTGTTATGATTAGAAATGCTGCAGAGTAAAAAAATGACTGGCATTTATAAGCTCCTAATTTGTCCTTTCTGTTTGAACTGAGGGCCCTCTGCCACAGAAGAAAGAGGAAAATCAAAGGAGAGAATAAAAGAGTGGGTAATATTAAATTAAATTAGAACCAAATGAGGCAAGTGGCAGTCTGTCCAAAACCACTTTACACCCAGGCCCTCTGGGCATTGCCCGTCTTTTTCCAGTAAGAAATTAGTGATTTCTCTCTGTTCTTTTTATAATTCTTTGTGCGCAGCTCATAAGGATTAACACTACACACCCAGTCCAACGCAGTGCTAAGTATTACAATGTGTGTTTGCTCATTTATATGAGTGAGTGCGAATATTAAGAAGAAAATCAGACATGCAGGCTGGAGTTTCTGCCATTTTGAGAGCGTGCGCTTGTGTTAATGTAACGACTGAGGGTTGGATTCTGTCCGGACTTCAAAGTTAAGACGTCATCCTCGCGGGGCTGTCAGCGTGCTCTTATCCTCGAAGACAGTTTGGCACCAGGACTGCAGCCCTCCAGCGCTTTCTGCATAACCCACACACAATGCCTTGAAGCAGTCACTTTGCTTAAATTCTCCATTTTCACTTCAGGAGTTGGCGAAACTTCGGCAGATTGGCGTTAGAACGAGACGTTTCCTCTGCAGGACGAATGTTTTGGTGACTAAAAACTATCTGAATTGTTCGAATTTGTTCAACAGTATAGAGTTAAGACCAGAAGTTTACATACACTAAATAACAGGCTCCTCACTAACAAACCCACTTTGGTGCACAAAGAATGTTTATAATTTTTTGTACCACATGACACAAAAATACACATTTACTGAAACAGGTTTATAAAGGATGAAGAAATAAAGTTCTGGTGACTGGCAGAGAACGTGCATATAGTAACAACCCCATAGGCTACATGTCCGTCTTAGCTAGCAGATAAAAGCTACATTAGCCAAGCTAAGCTAGTTTGGTAATAAGTACTACAGTAAAAACCACTGATATTTTTCTTATAGATGGGAACTCAAAAGCTGTAACAGAGTAATAGTTGTAATGTATTTTTATTGTTATAAGTTAAATAGGAACGAGGCGAGAGAATAATATGACAATAGATATGAAACATGCAGCAGCCTGAAGAGCCGCTGAACCTGGACTTAAAAGCACGGGTTTGACAATTTTAACAGTTAAATTGCTGGCACAGACGAACAGGAAAGCATAAAAGTTAAAGAATTCAAGGAATGCAGCAGCGTTTCTAACCGATGCCACTGAATGGGTTTTGTCTGTGACTGTCTGATGACGGTGCTTTCCTCTCTGGCCTCCTTTTACCTGACTCAACCCTCAACCTTCACTCTCTCGTGCTTCGGCCTCTTTTTCTCGCTGCGTCACAAAGGGAGAGTCACGCTGATGTAACAGCGTCTCGGCGCGGGGAGAAAAGTTGGAATCCAGCTGTATCTGCGCCCCTCCCTTTACAGAGCATGTCCAATCTACCCACAGCGTTCCATTAAAACCAGACCGCATCCATCTGGGCCTGAACTTTGAAGGCCAGGTCCCCTTTCCTGTGGCAGGGGAGGAAAACAGGGAGCTGTTAAAGTGGAGGACCTCACACTGCAGGCGCACACCTCAGCTCATACACTTAACACCACGTTCCTGCTGCTGGACCACACATCGCAGTGACACTCAGAGACCACACAGTCCGTCTCACAAGTCCAACAAAAGATCTCGTAAGACCTCACAGCGGGTCCTAACCTGATCTGACAGGATCCCAGAAAATCCCACACCTGTAGCTCCACAAACCGCAAAGTAACTCCACTGAGCAGGAACTGCAGGCCGAGTTACGGTTCAGTTTCGGCTCTTAGTTTACTATCATCTGCAGCCTCATATTTTAGCATAACTTGGTAAATAGGAATGTTTCTCCTGATAAATTCTTTAGTGTTCAATGCTTTCTATAAGGGAAGCCTGATATACTTGCTTAATTTTATGAATTTGTTTGTTACGCAAGCAGACATTCTTGCTTTTGAATTGATCCTTTGCACGTTGCACATGGCCCGCTACGCCACGACGGACGTCAAAACAAACAATGTCTCCTTTAAAGCTAGTCTAAAAACAGACATCTGTAACATAATGTCGCTTCATTTTAAAGTGATTTCACTTTAAAACGGTCATAGGATGCTGCGCGGTCGGCTGCACAGACAGACAAGAATGAAAACCAAACTTGTCATTATTTTTTATAACTTTTAATGAGGAACGGCGCGGCGGCCCTCCTCTGATACCGCACTGCACTTCATGCAAATCAACCAGCCCTGCAGTACCATTGTACCATTTCTCTCTCTCTTTCCTTCTGCCTGTCGTGTGGTTTGCGGCTCGCTGCGTTCGTAGCCCCGCCCCTTATGGTGAAAACGGTTGTCAGAGGAGAGCCGGCTCCAGTCGTTCACTCCAAAGAGCCGAAGCATTCTCATCACCGACCATCACTTCAAGCTTGACTTAAAAATGGAGGTGAAGATCCCTCTAAACCCAGACGTTTGTTCCCAACAATGAGGGGAAGAGTAAAGGAATACGACGGCAGATGGACGACCAGCGGGATGAATGGCGAGATAAACGAGCCGAGGCCAGAAGGATTCCCGGGCCTCGACATGGAAATCTTTCAAGCTCCTTTCATCGGCTGGCTGACGACGGGAACTTTGCAAGAGCAAGACGAGCTGGCGCCACCGGAGCAACTCGGCGGTCCTCAACGACACCGAGATGCCGGGGCAGAGAGGAGCCCTATCATCACCCGGCATGTTCCCTCCCCGTGACCCTGACACACCGGGCACCGGCCAGCATCAGCACTGATTTTCTAAACAGACGCATCACAACAGTCCAGAGCTCAGAACCAGTTTTGCCTAATGAGCGTTACGGCCTTGAAATGCGCTGTGATTAGATAAATCTGCTCTTTGAGAAAATCCCCTCTGTCTCTTTGCAATCTGGAAAACTCATGGTCACCAACATGTGTTTAAGACATTCAAAACTCAAGACTTTGTGTTTCATTTTATTTTTAACAACAGGAAGTTACAGACCTACTGCAACTCAATAAATTACAATATGATCAAAAATGTCATTTATTTCTTTTACCATTTATTGTGATAAATCACTTTGTATCAGAAGTGGAGCCTGGAGTCACATGACCTGGACTCTGGTCATTAATATGCACACTTTAAACTTAACTTTAAAAATGTTCAGAGACTTGAACTTGTTTTTTACACCAATAACTTAGGACTTGAATTGGACTTGAACCTGTTTTCCTATGGATGACTTGATATTTTACCCCAAATTTAAAGTTTAAAACATATATTATTTATATGAAATGTATAAAGCTCAGGAAGCCGGAGCGCAATGAGCTGAGTCCGGATCAGAAAGCTGAGAAGAGAGTTTCTCTCTGTCCATCATAAAGCTGACCTTCTCCATGCCACTCCGCATTAATGCAGTAATTCATGTGAAACACCAGGATTTATTTCAGTTACTCCACAGGACAAGATAGTTTTAATTAAGATGAATTTCTGAGGATCCCAGAAGTGTGAAATAAATCCCTCTAAATTAGTTTTTCTGAGACCTACCTTGAAATGGGCCACACCAACACACTGTTAAACCGTTTTATCGTTATCATGAAGACAGTAAAAGACGTCTTTGTGTCTTACCAGTCCACACTTAGAGATCGTCTTCTGTAGGAAGACGGTCTGTCTGACGACGTCTTCTCTGCTTTGGCTGGTCGCTCTTTCAGGGAGAGACGATGAGTCAATTTGGAGATTCCCGACTCGGATCTGGACGGCAGAAAAACAGAAGAAAACATTAAGACCCAACAGGCAGAAAAGAATAAATGATTAATCCCAACGTGAGACTGTCTTCTTCGGTGCGTTTTTAAAGCCTAGTGGTTTTTCTCTATGACTTTAAGGCAGAGCAAACTTTGACCCCAGACTTTTCAGGATGAATGTCCTCCAGGTATATTCTGCACAAATATAAAAAATCCTTCCAAAATAAACCTAACAGAAACATTTTTGTAACATATACTTTTGTTTTCCATGTGTCTCTTCTTATTAGAAATTCAAAACTTCTTATGTTTCTGAAGATCCATTTCAGAGCTGTTGTACAGTGACCAGGATGGTAAAAACAAATCTTTGGTTTAAGACTCCAGTGCTGTTAGGGAGGCGTGTCATTAAAAAAACCTCAAACTTTTCTGTCTTCCCATCACAAATCAAAATGTTGATTTGCTAAACTGTTTGGAGTTTTCATCAGAAGTCATTTTATGGGACCAGATGAAAAAAAATATGTAACTTTTTAGGCCTTGAAAAAAAAGGGCTTAATGTAAAACAAGTTCTCTCTAAGGTACGGTAAAGGATCTGTGATGCTGTGTGTGTCATTTTAAATGAAAACCCAGTGATTCATTTGGTGGATGATTAACCAAATGATCGTTAACGATCCAAATGTTTCAGCAAATCAACCCAGAAATTGTTCACAGACAAACCACCTATATTCTGGACAATCAGGGAAACAAACCCAGTTAAACATCAGACCAAGTGTTGTGCTATCAACAAGTATTAACACAAAACTTGTCATAAATTAATTTAAAAATAGATTCATGATGCAGCTGATTTCCCCATGGAACAAATGCAGTCAAATTAAAAGTTGGATTTTTCCAAATTCATCCATTGAGTTGAAGGTTCTGTAATAAATTAAATAATTTTTCTAAGACTTTTACCCGATAAAAAAATAACTCAGCTGGGTGCCGTTAATCTTCATGAAAATGCATAAAATGTTTCAAAAACAGCCCTTCTCACAGAAAATGTAATTCCTGGAGCTGACAAACAGCATCACAATGCTTTAGATCTCTGAGGAAACATCAAGTTTCAGGGGAAAGCCACATACTTCCTGCTTTATTTTCCCTCAATCTTCATCAAAGGAAAAAAAAAAATCCCACACATTTTAATCTCCTCTGTTGGGCTGACAACGTCCCAGCTCAACTTTGTTCTCGAAATTAAAAACAGGACATGTAATATTTTGGTTTTTTCTTGCCCGGAATACATTTGATGAGGCTGCGTAATATCACTGCAGTTACACTGGAGACGAATCAAAATGAATTATTGTGCTCTATCAAAGAGCCGGGCTCAAAACGAGGAAATCCACTCAGCACCAGAACTGGAGATGCGGAAATTCACAACGCTTTTTAAGATAACTGTGACTTCAGCAACAAACAGCGGAGAACATTAGGGATACTCTCTAAGCAAAGTAAATAATTATTTAAAAAAAGAAATAATTAGGGACTTTTATAAAGATAAAGCAGTAATAAGGCTTCTTTTCTCTCATTTTCCCCCATATATGCTTGGATATTAAACGGTTTCTTTACGCCATTATATTTTGATGCCCAAAACTTACAGATTGCTTTCAATGGTTGTTTATTTGTTTACAAAAAGTCATTTCTAATAGTCTGACCATACATAAAAACAGCGAGTTTCAAGGGGAGGAACTACAACATTTAAGAGACGCAGGGAAACAGCGCCCCCACAGGCTAGTGGCTGTTGACTCCAATGATGGAGTCAACAGCCAGACCACCGAGGCGACTGGTGGTCGTGGAAAGCTTAAAGGTTTTTTTTTGCTTCCCTCATCAGTGTAAAATCTATTATGATATCCACAGATTAAAGTCTCTGTCCAAACTTTCACTTCATGACCTAATAGTGATTTTTTTTTCTAAGTGTCTGAGCTAAATGAATGAAACTGTGGTTTGATTGTGTAATGGTCTGTTTCTGACATTATATTGAAATGACTTTTAGGACTCAACAAAAGCACTTGTAAATCCCTGTGCAGGGTGCCTGTTTGCTAGGTCTCAAACATTTCTTTGTACTTCCTCCTTCTCACTGCACAAATTGATGTATAAATATTGGGCTAAAAGTTCGCATTTGAACTAAGGATTTTCTTATAACTACTATCACTTTCGCAGCCATTATGGCCAAGTCTGGCATTTGGTACCTAGAATCATTGGTCCATTGATCATATAATTGCACAATTTGACAGTTGAAAAAAAATAGCTTAATGGAAACACAACAATTTAGAAGAAAACTCATCTTTCAGTAATAGATTTTGGCACTTGCAGGAGGTGGGATTTTTGCCCATATTAAAATTGATTTAATTTGTAAAAATAGAATGGAAAAACCTCTGTCATGTCATGAGTCACATGATCAACAGCAGGATGTTACTGCAAACCACAAAGAAGAAGACAGGAAATAGCTTCTTAATGACTTATCATGTAAACAAACTTATTCAAGTATCATTTGAATAAGAAAACACCAAAACTATAAAATAGTGTTTTTTGACATTAGAGGAATATTGACAAAGTTTGATGCACATTTGTAAAGAAACTCAGCCAGTGACATTTGTCTGCACATGCTCAGGCATTTCTTTTTAGCATACATCTCAACTTTGGTTTTGGAAATTAATATCACACATCATGACCTCCAAGACTGAACACAATTTAAAAGGAAAATGTGTAGAAATCATGAAATATGCTGTTTGAAACAGCGTAACCCTGCATGCCTGCAATGTTGCTTTTTAAAAAACTGATATAATTATTCAAATCATCCATTACTATGACACATGAAATCTTTAAACACTTCACATCTTGGAAATATTACAAAGCTTTTTAATTCATGTACAGTCAGTGTTTCTCTTTTTCAATACAGTAGAAATATTTAGAGTCTCATTTAGAGTGATGTTTTTCTAATGAATATAAAGCAGAAAAGTCTACTGTCCGTTACTGCTGCTATCCCAATCCAACATCCTACATGCCATTATTTCCTGCCTCAGCGCCAGCATCTCCAAACAGTTAAGACAAAGACATATTTTCCTATGTGAACCATCCACAAGGAGTTGAAGAATTTTTGGCAGAATGGTGATGGGCTCCTAATTCAGCGCATTAAATTCAGGCGCGGCTTCGCCGTCTACTTCAATGTTTTGCATGAACGCAAGTGCAAGCTACTGGTGTTGATTTTCACCTACTTCAACAGTAGTTCTCTGTTCACAGGGTAACCGTAATTAAATCAGGATCTTCTGCAGTGATCTGGTTCAGATCATCTTTTGTTGTTAATGGACGGTTTGGTTTTTATATGTCTAATAGGCTTAGTCTGTGGCCGGTGCGTAAAATAAGAGTCCCTTATAGAAGTTCAAACAAATTTTTTCGAGGCAAACAGATGACAACATGACCGTAGGACTAAAGGATGAGAAGAGTAATGCTTAGAAACACAATGGATGACGACATCAAACGCCACGAAGGGGCAGAGGACACAGAAAAGTCCCAAGGGAATTCCTTTGAGGGGGTTGAAATGAAAAAGCACACATGTGAAGCAGGTGGGTTTGGTGGCAACTGGCGGGCTGGCGCTCGGCTCCATGAGAGCCTCAGTCCTGGATCGACCCCATGCAGCTGTCCCCGATAACATCACACACACACAAACAATTGTGTTTTCATCACTTGTAAGGACTTCACATTGACTTCCATTAAATTCTACATCCTAATCCTTACAATAATCCTAACCCTAAACCTAACCATCACAGACCTAGCCACTAACCCAAGAATAACAATTTCCCTCATATGGACCAAGAAAATGTCCCCACAAGAAGCAATGGTCCCCATAAGCCACCCCACATTGTAGACAGAAATAGGTTCCCATAAGGATATAAAAACCTGGTACACCCACCCACACACACACGCACACACGCACGCACGCGCGCACACACACACACACACACACACACACACACACACACACACACACACACACAAACACACACTAACACACACACGCACGCACCCATGCACGCACGCACGCACACAAACACACACACACACACACACACACACTAACACATGCACGCACGCACGCACACAAACACACACACACATCATGATGAAATCTTCTTGGAAGCCCATTCAGGGTGTCCTGGTGAATCACTCTCCCAGCAGAACCGGATTTGCTTTTATTTTCCTGCCGCTGACCTCAGTTCAGGAAATCAGTAAAACAAAAGATAAATCTTCCAAATGTAATTCAGACAGGAGGGAAAAACATATCTTCCACATTCAGGCAAGTTTATTCAATATGAAAATGTAATAAAATAAAGTTTTTGTACAAGGAAATCAGAATTTCAAACTACAAAAAAAACACCGAATAAATTTGGTCAAGCGTTTGGTGCAAATGTTAGTACGCTTGAAAAAACCAATAAGTGGCTTTTTAGCAAGATAGGAGCTTGTTTTGAGTCAATAATTCCTTAATATTGATGAAAACGCTCTGGTTCTACTGGCAGATTATTTCATTTATTACACAGGAAAAAAATCTTCGAACCACTGAAGGTTGTTACCTTGACGAACTATAGTTCAAGAAACATGTATGACTTTGTAAGGCACTGTAGCTGTTTGTTTAGTAAAGTGTAACCCAAACCCTCCATGCTTTAGGCATTCATTTTGTTGTGCTGACTGTATGATAACTATTTGCCTCCAAATATTCAATCACCCCCTAAGATGTGATAAGCAATCTCAAAACAATATATTTCTGCTACTTAACAGGGCTAATGTGATTTTAGCAGCGCCTGTAACTTTCCGGAGTTTTGCAACACAAGCATGTCTTTGTCAGTTGTGAACTGCTTGTGTGATGATTTGGAGAAAGTGTTGAAATTCTCTCACATGCCCCCTGCTTTCTTCACACAAACATTCACTGCTCACCTAATGTTACCTTTCCTCTCTGTTTCACTACTGTGACAGCAATTAGCTCTTCAGAGGGAT